AGCAGAGAAGGCAGACATTAAGGGACTAAGCCGAAAGAAATGACTGTTTTTTTTTTTTTATTAAAACAAGATAAATTTATTTGTTTTTAGAAGTAAAAATGTATATTTTTTTTTCTTAAAACAACAAAATGTATTTTGTTTTCAGTATTAATTGGCCAAATTTTTTTTTTTCCCTTAAAACAACTAAATTTATCTGTTTTAAGAAATGATAAGTGAAAACCTTTATTTTTTTATTAAAATAAGATATTTTTTTGTTTTTAGAAGTACTGTCAAAAAAAGTTTTTTTTTAATTAAAAAGATAAATTGTTTCTTTTTTAGAAGTAAAAAGTCAAAACTATATATTTGTTTCTTCTTAATACAAGCTAAATTAATCTTTTTTTTTAGAAATGATGTCAAAATCTTTAGTTTTTTTTTTAATTAAAACAAGATAAATTGTTTCTTTTTTAGAAGTAATAAGTCAAAACTATATATTTGTTTCTTCTTAAAACAAGCTAAATTAATCTTTTTTTTAGAAATGATAAGTCAAAATCTTTAGTTTTTTGATTAAAATGAGACATTGTTTCATTTTTAGAAGTAATAAGTCAAAATCTTTAAATTATTATTTAAAACAAGGTAAATTTATTTGTTTTTAGAAGTAATAATGCCATTTTTTTATTAAAACAACAAAATGTATTTTGTTTTCAGAATAAATTGGCCAAAATTGTAGTTTTTTTCCTTAAAACAAGCTAAGTTGATCTGTTTTCAGAAATAAGTCAAAATCTTAAGTTTTTCTATTAAAACAATGGTTTCGTTTTTAGAAGTAATAAGTCAAAATTGTTTTTTTTTTCTTAAAACAAGCTAAATTGATCTTTTTTTCAAAAATGATAAGTCAAAATCTTTAGTTTTTTAATTAAAACGAGACGATGTTTAATTTTTAAAAGTAACAAGTCAAAATTATGTTGTTTTTTCTTAATAAAACAAGCAAAATAATCTGCAAATACGATAAGAATGTATGCAAAATCCTTGCTTCAGACCGAAAGCAATATTATTTTGCTCACCCCACTGACAGATTATTTTGCTTGTTGTAAGAAAAAACTCACTTAGTTTGAATTATTGTTTCTGAAAAAAAAAATGCAATTATTTGAATTTGTTTAGAAAATACTTCTTTATTTATGAATTTTTAGATATCTGGACAACAAACAAGACCCTACCGAAGCTTTTCTGCAGTGCGGTGGATAAGCATACGTGAAAATAATTTGTTCACAACCTGCATGTCTTACAGTATTTGCGCATACATTATATCTAACAAATAATTGATTAATGTGCACACCGCAAACAGCACAGTGAGACTCATTTGCTGTGCATTAGTTGACTATAAGCCGGACATACTGATTAACGATATAACTCAAAACGTGTGGCTCATAAAGAAGGGAGATGCTATTACTCTTCAATGTGATCAAGCTTAGTATTTTATTTTTCTCGGCAGGTCATAAAACAGGCCTGAATGTGTTAGATTTACACTGAAAGATGGACCACGGCCATAGAGAGTGTCAGAGGATAAAGACTTTAAAGTAGATGCTTTGGCCAGAGTACAGCAACATGCTAAAAAACCACTTATCCGCCGCTCCCATTGGCATTCACTGCATCGTGTCATTGTGCATTTGCATGAAGTTGAACTGAACTCTCGCTAATGTTGCCTCGTATCACCGGCTCTCATGGAAAATGAATGACTTGCGCTCGCTTTGTTGCTTCAAGTGCTGTCAGTCTGAATGGCCTTAACGGGAAAGAAATAGCTTTTATTGCGTTGGTCAGGACACATGTAAACCAAACGCTAGCTCTTTCCCTTACAGATGAAGTATGTGTAATGTTTTCGGTGATTAAATACGTTCTCCTATCCAGGTTTAATGCGCAGAGTCAACTTTGCTAGGCTTCACTACAGTAGTTTAATTTCCCCCAAAGGGAGTGTTTGGACAAAGTCAGAATAATTTGAACCATAATTTGAGTAATTTGGCTTTTATGTTCCCAAAGGTGATATTACAACCGAAAATAGATTTGAAGCATAGTATAGTGAAATATTAGTATATATTTCATGTATTCTTCGTAGCTACTCAGACATTTCCAATTTACTGAGGTGGAAACTAGATCTGGTACTAACATTTAATGAGTAGCTTAAAGGAGCATTGGGGGAGTGGGGGGGTGGGGGGTGCGGGGCTCATTTTACAAGTTGTCTAGAGCTAAACAGTTGAATCAAACATTTTTAGCTTAGCATAAATCATTAAATCAGATTAGACCATTAGCATCTCACTTTAAAATCTAGCTTTTAAAATTACAAAGAGGTTCAATGATTTTTTTCTGTTTGGACAAACACTGAATAATTGGAACCAAATTATAGTTTTAAAATGAATCTTTCATGTTCCCAAAGGTGCCTTTATACAGTCGCAAATAGAGTTAAAGCGAAATTATTAGTGAAATATTAGCACATATTTCATGTATTCTTATTAGCTACTCAGACATTTCCCTTTTACTGAGGTGGAAACAAGATCTGGTACTAACATTTGATGTTGCTTAAAGAAACACAGCTCATTCGTATAGATTTAAACAGTTGAAACAAGCATTTTAGCTTAGCTTAGCATAAATTATTGAATCGGATTAGACCATTAGCGTCTCTTATTAAAATCTCCCTTTAAATTGAAAAAAAGAGTTTAATTTTTTTTTTTTCTGTTTGGACAAACACTGAATAATTTGAACCAAATTATAGTTCTAAAATGAGTCTTTTATGCTCCCAAAGGTGCTTTTACACGGTCAAAAATCGAGTTAAAGCATAATATAGTGAAACATTAGGACACATTTCATGTATTCTTATCAGCTACTCAGACTTTTAAAATTTACTGAGGTGGAAACTTACATTTACATTTGATGAGTTGCTAAAAGGAACACTGGGGGGAAAAAGGTCTTATTTTATAAGTCATCTGAAGTTAAACAATTGAATCAGACATTTTTAGCTTAGCTTAGCATAAATCAATGAATCAGATTAGACCATTAGCATCTCGCTTTAAAATCCTTTTTTTATTATTTAAAATGACCTAAGAGGTTCAATATATTTTGTGTTTAAAGCTTGACTCTTTTGCAGTTACATTGTGTATTGAGTCCAATGATATTACACAAACCACAAAAATAGATTTAGAGCATAATATAGTGAAATATTAGTATATATTTTATGTATTCTTATTAGCTACTCAGACACTTCTAATTTACTGAGGTGGAAATAAGATCTGGTATTACAGTTGATAAGTGGCTTAAAAGAACACAACTCATTTTACAAGTTGTATAGAGTTAAACAGTTGAAACAAGCATTTTTAGCTTAGCATAAATCATTGTATTGGATTAGACTATTAGCATCTCACTTAAAAATGTAGCTTTAATATCATGTAAGAGTTTTAATAATTTTCCTGTTTGAACAGACATAATCAAACTATAGTTTTAAAAGGGGTCTTTTATGTTCCCAAAAGCTTTATACAATGGAAAATAGAGTTAAAGCACAATATAGTGAAATATTAGTATATATTTCATATGTTCTTAGTAGCGACTTAGACATTTCCAATTTACTGAGGTGGAAACAAGATCTGGTACTAACATTTGATGACTGACTTAAAGGAACAATATACCTTTTTGGGGGTGGGAAATGCTCATTTTACTAGAGTTAAACAGTTAAAAAAAGCATTTTTAGCATAGCTTAGCATAAATCATTCAATCGGATTAGACTGTTAGCATCTTGCTATTAAATGTCCAAAGAGTTTCTGAAAAAACTTTTTTTAAATAATTTTGTTATCGAGAAAATTGCAATTTGTGTTTGTATTTTTGTGCGAGTATAAAACAAACAACATATATTAAAATAAAAATCATGTAAACACTAAATGTTTTCAG